GACTTTAGGCCAGGCAGGGAGCATTGAGTTGCATTGTGGGTCGCACGTTGCACGCCTCCTCAATAAACTGCCACCTGAAAGACGGGCCGATTTCCGCCGCCACATGTTACATCGGCCTGGGGTGACATACTCATTGGTAGATCTGGCAGAATGGCTGAAATATGAGTCTTGGTGCCAAAGCTATGATGATCAAACTGCCAAGGGAGAAAGCCGAGCTAAACGAGATTCCAGAGTAGCTCCACGAACATGCCGAACCACTGCCACTGTACTGACTGGGTCTGGAAATAGTGCTGATGTGAGAGCCACTGCGTATTCTCCTGCCAACGTTGATGAGAAAGCTAAAGGTAGGCCCATGGTATATTGCTCTTACTGTCAGAACTCCGAACATGCTTTCAGTCAGTGCCCCAAAATTCCAACCCTCACCAAAGATCAGCTCTCAGAGTGGATACGAGCCAATAGGAGATGCTGGCGTTGTGGTCTTGCCCATCAGGCTGCCCATTGTGGTCTAAAGAAACCATGTCCACTTTGTCAGAGGAAGCATCTACGAATCATCCATGAAGTAAATGAGAGGCCGGTCAAAGAGGCATCCAAAACTGAGGCTTGCTTAGTCAGCTCAGCGACACAGACACTGTACCTGAACAAACCAGTCAGCAGTAATAAAGTTTTGCTCAAGGTTGTCAGAGTACTCCTACATCATGGCAATTGCACATTAGACACATTCGCAATCCTGGATGACGGTTCTGAGCGTACAATGCTTCTGCCAGAAGCAGCACAGAAACTTGGCTTGAGAGGTACTGAAGAAAGCTTAGCTCTGAGAACAATCCGTTATGATGTGCAAACCCTTAAGGGGGCTTCAGTCTCATTCCACATTTCTCCATACTCCAATCCGAAGAAGCGATATCTCATATCCAGAGCCTTTACTGCGCCACAGCTTGATCTCATTGACCACTCGTACCCAATTTTCAAGCTGCAGAAGCAGTACAAACACTTGGCTGGATTACCATTACAGTGCTTTGAAAGGGCTAAACCTCTCATCCTTGTTGGTGCCGATCAAACTCACATGATCTCACCAATTGAGCCGGTAAGACTTGGTCCACCGGGTGGTCCCGCTGCAATAAGAACCAAACTAGGCTGGACATTGCAGGGCCCTACCAGCCTGTTGGAGCAGCGACTCAAGCCGAAAGAGTG